ACAACGATCTAAGTGAGACATCCTCATCTTAATCTGCTCCGGTAGGTAAATATAATGTTTAAGATAACGTTAGCTTGATATGTTAGCTTCCGTTCTGCTAATGGTGCGTTCGCTTTCTCCTCGGAACTCCGAATTTCCGACTAGAAGAACATGAATGCGCTCTAAAGTTTGGCTTCACTTTACTAAATGTGACGGGTGATTGGGTGAAGATGAAACCAGCGACAACGATCTAAGTGTGAGGCATCATCGTTTTAATCTGCTCCAGCAGCTAAATAAACTGTTTAAGATAACGTTAGCTTGATAAGTTAGCTTCCATTGCCGCCATTGTTATCAGCTGATGGTGCGTTCGTTTTCTCCTCGGAAATTCTAACTTCCCAGTAGGAAAAATCTGATGAAAAAAGACGGCAAAAGGAATGAAGATACACAGTAAATTTAGTTCACAGTAAAGATGTTTGCTTCAGTTTAATTATCAGCTTATAAAACTACAAGGACGATGTTAAAATACAAACAGTTGTATGTTATTTATCGTGATATTTATCAAATATGGTTATATATTGAGAAAAATATATATTTAATTATAAAAGAGAATTAAAATATTTAACACTCAAAAGTATCTAAAACTGGTACCGTTAAGTACCGGTATCGATTCCTAGGTACCGGGAATTTGTACCGAATCGATTCAAATGTCAAAGGTACCCATCCCTAACCATTGCCAAGGCAGTACGACTATTAGGTTTCAATAAAGTCCAGAGAGGAAAATTGCTCATTTGCACCAGCACTTTTACAAAATATTCTAATTTTTCAAGTTTCGCCCGTATGTGCGCTTTAGGATGTTACAGCAAGTCCTCTCTCTGATGTGTGATCGTTTTTGCACAGGACATTATTGAACAGTAGAGACTATTTTTTTCTGCCACTTAATTTTAGAGGACACATTTTTAAATGTACTCAGTTACCATGACCAAATGACCAAAAAGCCTTTAATTAAGTTTAATGTAATTACTAATTAAATCCACAAAGTTAAGTTCACATCATATTTCAGCGCAATGCCAGGTTAACAAGCAACTTTTAAAACTACTTGATTTGATGAGACAAAGGAATGTATCTGAAATATATGAAAGAGCATGTGAAATCATTAAGAGAAAATGGACATTTTTGGACAGAAAAATCTAATGAGGTATTCCTTTTCATGCAAGAAAAATAAAGTAGCACCAATTATACTCATGTACAAGGTTGGAGCACGCTCAGTGCAACTGCTTATGAATGTTCCTGACCCTTTAACACCAGAAGACTCAAATTTTTGCCTCTGACGTGTTATTTCTTTCTTTTTGCATTTTAGAGTCTGAGCGGATTCAGCGAAGATTTAGCTGTGACTGTTTTCAGCTCTAATTTAGTCAGCAGTATGACGTGCAGGACGGGCAAACACGAACACGTAAAGAAGATCTAGGGGATAAAGGAAGAGTGAACACAGTTGGCCTTTCTCTGAAGCGTTTTGTTCCTGATACGAGTTGGAAAATGAAGAATTTCTTTCACTCCTGTAAAGTTAACAGCGCATATCTTGTGAGTTTTCTTGTTACCATTAATGCTCACAAAACCTCGTCCCCATCTCCTCTCAGGACAAAAGAAATTACCATAAAGCAGACATTTGAACAGTTTTAAAACTCGTTTTTTTAATTCAGTCATCCAGTAGTTGCAGCCCACTAGAAAAGCTTAAGTTCTTTTACTAAAACCTCTAAGCTCGATGTCTCTCATCTGCATAATACCTCACCTGCTTTATAAAGAAGCACTAATTGACAAGCTCATTAGCTTGAGAAACAAAACGGATCTTAACTAAAGGGAAGTGATCAGCACTTCAGCAGTTAATTCTCTATATATGACTTCAAAAAAGACTGCCAAAACATCAAACAGTGTCGTTGTCCATACAGCCCACTTAAAGAGCTTGGGGAGTGCATCCCTGCTTACTAATAGGCTCTAATGGGTGGATAAACAGTACAAGAATCCTCACAGGCTGCCTGATCTAATTAAGAGGAGTGAGAATTACCATACCAGCCAAATTTTCAACACTGGGTATTGTGAAAAAAACATGAGGGAATTGCTACAGTGTTGACTCTCTACTATGGACTTGTAGATTTATGTTGTGTGGCTTAATTAGGGCTAAATTGCTAATCCTATGAAAGAAAAGAAAAACTGTAGTGTTTTCTCCACCCTGAGACGTTTGAGAAAACAACAGAAGGTAGGCAAGAACAGCAAGATACAAACTGGCAGACAACTTTGAAAGAAACAATTACCAGGCACGGCACAAGAGCCCGATTGTGGAAACATATGTTCTGTATCAAAGGGACATTTCTGATCCAACTTAAAAAGACAGACTCAGGGAATCTGATCCAATGAAACTTTAGCGGTAAAGGGTGGAAATGCACCACACACAGGCATGGAAAGAAGACGAGAAGTTACGCAAAAGGTCAAACACAATAAACACAAAAGTAAACAACGGGGGGAAAGG